TTAGGATTTTTCTTTTCTATGGAGTAGAACTAGTTAGAAGTTTCAATGAGATATTCGATGATTTTTTTTATAATCGGGTTTTTTGAAGAGTCGGTTAATATAAAAATATGCATGTTGCTTCTAATAGAAGGGAAGTTAATTAAATATCATTCGGAGTGTATATCAGAATAATGATGGATGGAAAAATGGATCTATAGAATATTTTAAGTTCATGTCCGTTTTTGAGGTAAAAATGAAGTATCACGGGTTTCGCCATGAAAAACACTTAACGATTATTGAATAGAGCTAATTGAAACGTGCAAAATCCTGATGTTCATAATATTCAGAAATAAAATCAGTTCGTGTTAATTCCATTACGAGTTTTTCCCACAAATAAATTAATTTCCTATTTCAAAATGCCAGGGCTCCGTCACTAATGAGCGTTGTAAAATGTGGGTATTTGCAGGGATTTGAATTAATAATCAAATCTTGATACATTTTGAATATTTTTCGCTCCTTGCATATTTTATTTCCACGTATGAGATATACAAGGGTGCTGGCGGTCCTAAGCATGACTTTAAGTGAGAAAAGTGAAATTTTCAAAAAAAAGTGGCGAGAAAATAGTAAGAAGTAGTGAGGTTATACATTAAAAAGTGAGATAATTTTCTGAGAAATTGATTATCATGTTACCTAATTTAAACGAATAATGTAAATAAGAAGCTGTGAAAATGAACGAGAATAACTCTTTGTTACTGTTTTATTGACGTGTGCAAAAATAATCATTTATACGATGCATAAAAGAAACATAGAAAATAAAGCAAATTCTTGTGAATACGAAAGGCATATCTGTACTTATGTCTATTAAGTATTCTTGTCCATTTGACTAAACCTTCATTTTAGCGAAGTACAGGGTTTGTCCGGAAAGTAATAGGACTGCGTCGATATAAAAAAATTTATTGAGCCAATCGTTACAATTCTTTAAAAACTTTCAAAATAGGCTCCTTCTGCGTCGATGCAGCATTGTCAGCGCGATTTCCAAGCATTGAAGGCTTCACGGAAGGCATTCTCCGGAATAGCCTTGAAAGCCGCGGTGCATGCTGCTTGGATCCCCTCTGTCGTCTCAAAATGCTTGCCTTTCATCGGCCTTTTCAGGCGAGGAAACAAAAAAACGTCCGGGAGGGGGCACATCTGGGCTTGGTCACGTAGCTGTTCACAAGAAAGGCGGTGTGAGCCGGGGCGTTGTCGTGGTGCAACTTCCAGTCGGCTGCGATGTCTTGTCGGACCCGACTGACCCTTCGTTTGAGTCTCCTGAGCATTTCCACGTAAAACTTGGCGTTGACGGTTTGTCCAGGAGGAACAAATTCATGGTAGACGATGCCTTTGATGTCCAAAAAGAAAATGAGCATCGTTTTCACTTTGGATTTGCTCATTCTTCCCTTTTTTGGGCGAGGAGACGCCGTCGTGTGCCACTCGGAAGATTGCCTCTTTGTCTCGGGATCATACTCAAAGATCCACGACTCGTCACCTGTGATTACGTTATTCAAAAATTGGGGGTCACTTTCACACATGTTCAAATTTTCTTGGCACACTTCCACTCGCCGCAATTTCTGGTCATCAGTGAGCACTTTTGGGACCATCTTTGCGCACACCTTGCGCATGTTCAAATGCTGTGTCACAATGTCATAAACCACAGATTTTGGTAAATTTAACATCTGGGCAATTAAACGAATACTTAGTCGACGGTCTGAGTTCAAAACTTTGCGCACACGAGTCACATTATCGGTGTTTGTCGAAGTCGAAGGTCTTCCAGCACGGACTTCATCAGCGACCTCTTCCCGACACTCCAAAGAGGCCTGGTGCCACCGAAACACACCACTTCTTGCTAAAGCAACACCTGGGTAAGCCTGCTTGATCCTATCAAACGTCTCTGTCGCAGATTTACCGAGTTTCACACAGAATTTAATCGCGTACCTCTGCTCTAACGAACGCTGCATTTTCGGCTTGCACCACTCACAGAAACACGTCGCGTGAAAATGCCTGTTCCTGACTCTCCAAGTGCTCGGAGACAACTGACCAGCCGCTCATTCGTTAGCTAGGAACACCCTCTACCGAATCCAGTCGGTGCGCGCACGCTCCGAAGTACAGTCATGGCGGAATAAAATGAGTCCTATTACTTTCCGGACAAACCCTGTATATAATGTGAAAAAGTTGAAATTTAATTAAGTTATTGTAGATTAATATTTTTAGATGGGTTCCCACGGCCACCTCCTGGCTCCATTATCAGATCATCTCTATGTCATAATAATATTTTCTATTGTCATATTAAGCATCCGCCATTTGCTTATTGTTTCTTTCATAAAGCTCTTTCATTTGATACCCATATCGTATACTATGGCAATGATAAATCGACATTAGCATACGAAATATTAGATTCAATATGGTGGCAGTTAATTCATTATTTAATGTCACACGAACCAGACAGCCACACAAAATTTCAGCTCAATTGGCTCAAAATAATATCTTACTAACAGTTATCTGCACAAAGCTTATAAAAATGCCACTGTTAATGCAATTTGTGTTGAAAACCCAGCTCAAATTAAGCCAGTAGAAAACGTATTCGTATTTTCCGTCTCCCTCTCCGAAAATACTCTGAATCGCCAAACTATCTGAATAACACTTTTTTAGTTACCTAAATGCGCCATTTTGCCTTCATAAACGACTTTTTATTGTTTTGCTATGCATGCTAGCAAAGTTGAGTTAAAATTCAACATAGATTTCAACTAATCCTAGTAATTTCTTATGCAATAAATATAGGCTCAGCTTGGGGAGATCCCTGCACACGAAAAACTGTGTCATAGTTGATTCTTATAAAAAAATTGTCTTCAGTTAATTTTATGGAGCTTGGAAGAGGGAGGACAGCTTCTTCGAAAACGTTCGTAAAGTACAATATGTGCAGCGAGAGCAATAATGAGAATAGTGAATACTTTCAATGAATAGTGAGTAAAAGTGAGATGGATCGAAAAAAGTGAGTCGCCAGCATTCTTGGATATAGGAAAAATATTATTTTCGCAGAACTGTAGTCTTTAGAACTTTTTATGATGTAAGATGTCTTGCATTACGAAGTTCTATATCCCTTAATTCTGTCCGTCTGTCTGTGAATTTCTCTTGAAGTCTTTCCATGCTTTTTCAAAAACAGCTTCACTGACATTGATAAAGTCTAGGGTATGGTTTCCTGTGGGGTCGTGGTAGACCAAGCTAATACATAAATAGTGACAACGCAACGGCAAAATTAAAACGTAAAAAAGGTGGCGAGGCACTCCCAAACGATATAACGTTGTTAAGCTTCCTGATATTTTTCACACGTTCCTGTACTTAATTGTCATTTGATTCTTGTTTCCTTATTGTGGGAAGCAATGGGTTAATCTACTTGACTTCATTATAGTTATTATTCCAATTTAAATTATTTGTCAATAAATACACCCTAAAGTATTTTCAGAATTATAAAAAATATCCCTTTTGATTTTGAGAGACTGTTACAACAGTTTTCGGACCTTCTTTTTGAAGTGCTTGACGCATTCGGGCTCCTCAGAGCTTTGTCACTGATTAACATATTTCAGCTGAAGATAGCCAACCTGATGCTATATTCGCACTTCGAAATAATTATCCGAGATAAAGTGAGATACCGTAGCATTATCTATGCAAATTTCTCACAGAAGTTTCTCTTTCTAACCAGCTCTATATAAATATGAATGCCAGGTTGTGCAAAAAGTATAGATTGATCCAAATATCTCGAAAAATACGTTTCCTGTTGTAAGACAAAGTCGTAAGGCTTGACAAGATTAGTCCATAGGTGATCTCGACTATGGCATTCAAGACCATTTTAGATGAAACCCCTATTTTTCACACCGGAAATATAAATAGCTTTTACGTTTAAGGATGTTTCTGCCCATGACCTTTACCATGATTTTTATGGGTATTCGAAGGTGTCTACGTTAGAAGAAAGGCGAAGGACACAGTATTCCGAAAGAGACACTTCATAAAATCACCTTAACGCTTCAAGCTCATTTGAGGATCAAGACAGTTTTCGTTAATGGAAACCCTTATTTTCGCGCTTGAAATAAAAAAGAGCAAGAAGCTTTATGTTCGGAGTCATATGAAGATCAAATAAATCTTTAACGGGAACCCCATTGGAAACATCTGTTTTTAACTCCTTACTTTTTGTAGGGGAAAGAGGAAGGGAAACATTGAAATTAATTTATTGTTGCATCAAAATGTTTGAAAAGGGTGGTGTCTCATAGATGGTGCTGTGATCACCTGTATGCTCATATAGACCGCGACATCTATGATACACTAAGATCTTTAAAGTATATATAGTGAATAGAGAACTAGCTGTGACAAATTCTCATAGAACACGCTACAGTATCTTATTTTCTCTTGAAGAATTTTGCGTGCGCGAATATAGCGTTAGGTTGGCTGTCTTTAGGTAGAATACGTTAATACGTTAATCAATGGATAGGATCTCACTTGACTCTCCCTGGTACATTTTTTGTGTTCAGGATGTGGAAAGCTGTTCACTGTATGAATCCTATAACCTTGATTGATGCGAAAATTAACGTGCCCAACCCACACATGACGGCGGCACGGTGTAAAAGGATTGGATGCAAGTTATTTGAAATTAGTGCTTATCTAACGTTTATGAATGCACTTGAATTGCTATTATGCCTCGATATAAAATACAAGTCGAGTAGTTAACCAGTGTTAAAACATAGTTATATTATTGCAAAGATTTTAGCTACTTAGAACAGATTAATCATGCAACTCCGTTTGTCGTCCTATGAAAACTTCCAGTTTGGTTGGTATGTTTTCAAGATTTTGGACTCTAATAGTTAAACATGTACCTACCACAGAGTAACTCAACTCATCGACGTACTTGTCAGCTGCCAAATTTTGATTTTAATACAGCAGATCCAAGACTAAATCTCATAAAACTGAAATTGAGTTTTTAAAATAAAGGCCATAAAGTCTTTTCAAGGTTTATTATTTAATATACAGATACATAAAAATACAAACCACACTAATATTAATATACATACTATAAAATGGTTTAATTGAGTTGGAGGATAAATTGGAATAGCTAATCTATTACTTACTATAATATTGAGGTACAGCGGCTAAAGTTATGAACAGTATGTTACCCGACTAGTGCTTGAATGTTTTCATGTATTAATACTGTAATTTTTTATCTAGATAGCGACTACATGTAATACTTTATTTGTCTTCAGGTACTAAACGTTATAGTGGCTGTCAGCAACTTGAAAAATAAGACATGTATTGGAAATTGACAAGTTTAACTAAGTTTATACGCATTATTTTAGTAAGATTTTGTTCATGTATATTGATTTAATGGGAAACTACAATGCGCCCTAAAACTACTGCTGGTCCACACATTGCCACTTTAGAACAGTTCATTTTATACACTCTTTTGTACATATTTTGTACATTTGCGATAGGTATATTTTAGTATAACCATTAAACAAGAAAAGCATGTGTTACAATACAGAAGAAAAGAATATGTGAATGAAAAGCGTCAAATTTAACTGTAGGCTTACAAATTATGTGCAGAGGCCAGAAGTTTTTTGTACTTTCTCATAAAATTGGCATAATAAGATTCATATCTAATTCTCCAAAGCAATTTTTAGCTGCAAGACATTACATCCAATAATAACAAACAGTGATCAGTTATACCTTGATTCAGCAATTTGAGGAATACTTTCAAAACCGTCATAACCACATTCAGTGCCATTTGCATAAAGTTTCAAATGCCTTTTCTAAGCGAATCTCTGTTTTTCTTAGTAAGCTTCTCAAGTTGAATATAGTATATTTTTGCACCTTCCAGTTATGCACATATATAGGGGCTCCGAGAGTATTCCTAGATCATCACTTTGTATACAACAATGACTTTGCCACAAGTGCTGCTTGCATTCACTCCATCTGGACATGACCTTGCATTAACGAATCTCTGTAAGACAAGGCGACGCCATCGGATGGGCCAATAAACGCCTATCCTCTAACTTCTGAGTAGCAAATGAGCTAGTACGGGTCCAACTACTGTCAGGAAGAAGTTGCCGAGATGTCCGTTGGCAGAGTTGCATTCTTCAGAATCGCAAGTACCGCAATATTCAATGTTTCTGCCAGGTTCAGCCCATAGCTCTTCAGGACATTTACCAACCTGTAGGTTCCTGGATACTTTTCTGCATCCTCTTTCTACTACCTTTCTATCGCTACTGTCTGAAAAGAGGAATTAAAATTTAAGTGCCACTATCGAAATAAGACAGCGCAAAGCGTCATCTACCACCAGAATAGATCACTACGAACAGGGAATAGCAACTATCGGTTGGTACTGTATGGATCTCAGTCCGCGAATTGGATGCACAGTCACCACGTGAGCATTATTCAAGTTGTGTAGTAGATGTAGTCTAGTTGCCATTAAAAAACTAAACATACTCTGCTTTCGTCCGCCCGAACAAAGATAGCCAACCATCGACAGTTGTTTCGTGCTTTTTGGCTATTCATCAGCATGGAACAGGCTTGGTATCTCGGACAACGAACTAAATCTTAACAATTATTGGCAGCATTGCTGAGTTAAGTTCAAGAAATTAAATTAAATTTGGTTGAGTAGAAGTAGTAGTAGTAGAGTGGCTTACCCAAGAAAACCCGTTTGATACAGACATTCCTCTGATTATAGGTATTGTCGTATCTGTCATCGCATACTTCTTTGTGAGGGTAGTTCTTTACAGGTTGCACAGGTGAGCTTCCGTACGTTAGGGTGTCTGAGTTCCTTGTATTTTGACGTATTCTGGTCACATTGAAGTAGTCGCTGCATGTTGAGTCTTGGATTGAGCTACACCGCCAGCACTGCAGAGAGTGCCCTAAAATGAACGAATTCATTTACTATAAAGGGTGACATTGTAAGATGAAGAGAAAGACCAACAATTATGATGTACATCTTTCGACCGGAAGCAAAGCCTTTCTGGGAGTCCATAGGTCGGAAGTTTGCCGAAAATAACAGCATGCCACGGCTGATTGAAGTTATTCCAAATACCTAGAGCAGGGCTGTCCAACTTAATGTGGCCCAAGGGCCACTTCAAAAAAATGCAGTTTGAAGGGCCGCATTATAAAATCTTTCTATACAACATTATTACTGTAAGAATTGTGCATATTCGGTATTTGAGAGTAATTTATACGTGTGATGTATACATGACCCGTGAAGCGGGCCGCAAGAAAGGAGTTCGCGGGCGTCATGCGGCCCGCGGGCTGTATGTTGGACAGCCCTGACCTAGAGCATCGACGTAGGCCTCACCAAATGACTGAATGCGTTTACTTCACAGTTATGTGACGTAACGAAACAATACTGCCTATCGCTAATCATGCAATGATGCTCCAGGAATTTAAGAAGTAGAATTGTGGGTCTCTAGTTATAGTGATTTGTCTTAGACCGGAGAATATGAATAAACTTTCACTCCCCAGAAAATGCCGGAAGCGTAAGATATTTGGAAGGTACGAAAAAGAGGGTGAGTAAGCGCCTGTGCTCATCTTTTAGGATGCCATAATTATATTGGAACTAAAAGTTTTGTTGTCGCTGAGGAACCCCACAGCACCTTTCTGACGGTCTTATACAGGATCAGCAGATAATCATTGCGGTTCCGTATTTAATGTGTATGTATGTACACCGAATTGATAAACCAAAAGCTCCGGCAAATTCCCCAGTACTATTTTCAGCTTCTGAGACATAAGCGATTGGCTATGGCTGGTCTGCTTGCTTCGCCGTTTACAGCTTTAAGCGGTGGTAAATCGACGCGTACAGCGTATAAGTTCTGACTTATCGGTCCTTGCCAACAGTGAATTTCCGATAATCCCGAATAACATATCATTAACTTGAATGGATGACTGTATGTATAGTATCTAGCCTTTAATGATGGTAGCATTTAAGGTACTATGTCATTAACACAGCAGTACGTATGAGTCAAATTGTATTGAAATATTAGCATTAACTTCCGGACTATAGGAAAAGAGGGCCTCGTAGCTTCTTCGGTGAAGTTATTTTTAAGGCCTTGCTTGGACTCAAAATAGTCATCCACATACAAAACCTGTTTGACTCATAATGAACGATTAACAACGCAGCTAATACGGCTAAAAACACAGACCAAACCGCTGCTTCTGACTGAAGCGTGCGCGTCGACAGCTCGAGTTATAATGATGCTCTCTATGCTCTGCGTGCACGAAATATCCACTCGTCTGACAAATATTAGCCAGAGTGATTCTGCTGGCTCGTCGTATTACCGAGACAGGGGAAAAACATATGTTGCGAGTGCGCCACAGACTCGGTGCCATTATACGTATTTATCACACTATTTCTATCATACGTATTAATGATTATCTGTCGATCCTGTATGCAAATGTACTTCCTCCGTAGTGCGGGAAGCACGCTGCATGCATATCATCTGGGTGTTGCGTATAATGTCCATGATCCAAAATCTTAGTTTTGGAGTCGGTTAAAATCATTTCGTCCTGGAATGTTAGCGGTGAAATACCTTCAGATCTGCTTCTCCAGCGTCCAAAAAGATCGACTACGAAACTAATCATGACATTGTCCTGATGTTGCCGACAACATGCGGTAGAAATGAACGATGTGTCAGAGCTTATTTCACCTCCAAAAATACACAAATCGTTTTCATCAATGTCATCCTTATTAATGCTGACACGAAACATTTATAATTATAGCATGCTTTTAAATAGGACATCTGGCCTATGTAAAAATGTACGACTGGATTGCATTGCTTTGTAAATGCGGGAGAAAATTGGTTGTATTATTAAATTTGTATCATTGAAACAGCCCTAGTTCCCAATTTTTCGTCAAAATACATTAAATTATATTCGTTTTGATTTCTCATTTTGTTTGCATCCGAATTTTTTAAGAGCCATCCTCACAATTTCCGGTTATGAGATAGTGTCCGCAGGTGAAAGGTAACTAGACATTGTCGAGCCGATATACCGTGAGAGTCAGGTCATTCCACTGAGAGCATAGGGACCGCGCAGTCTTGCATTTTGAGTGATTTCTTAAAAGCTTTATGGCCCTGTAAGAACTTCAGTCAAAGGTTGAGGTCTAACGGCTAAGTCTACGGTGTCTCCTGCATACATTGTGTGAATAGACTACATTTATGATATAATTACACGCGTGGGTAACATTTACAGCATTTATAAGGTAATCATTTTTTTTTAAATTGCCGTAACGAACGTGTACTACCCAAGTTCACAGTTTGGTTTCCTTATATTGAGTTTCACCAGAGATGCGTGGACGAAGCGGAGTTTTTGAAATCCTGGCGCTCCCCCAACAGTGAAAGGGTATAAATCATATAACCTTTTTTCTTTCTACCATTTAATCTCCAAAGTCCAATAGATACGACGTAAGTCATCATTTAATCTTTATTACGTATCATCATCATTATGTACCATTAATTTATAAATCTTAGCTCAGACTAGTAATTAAACCTCCCCACGTTTAGGGATATGTCTGTTGTGGGTTTCTATCTGGTAATTTGCATGATATTGTATTTTTTTCAGGATAATAAACCTGGTTTTGATTGATTGATTTGATTGATTTATAGCGGGTTAGAACAACGTCTTTTTAAACTTTTACGTAACGCAAGAGCTTTTATCAAAAGATTTGGGCCTACGTGACACTATTGTTAGTACTGATTATAGGGAGCTTAAATAGGTCCGTAGATCGCAAAAAGCTACTATAACTACCAACAACAATAGACTAGCTTACCTAAGGAAATTATCTCAAATGAGTTACATTTTATGACAAATGGTAATTTGATCATCTCCTTCTACACCTCAAGCAATGTAAATACCTTGATATGCCTAAAGCTTATTTATCACAAACAGATACATTGAATTAGGCCAGCAAGCTAACCAATTTATTCTCGCCATCATTTGTAATATTGTATAATTCATCAAAAAAAAAGAAGCTCATTGCTAATTCAGGTAGAAAAGGTAAATACTGCTCATTGCCATGAAATATGAACTTCTTGCGTGCTCTAGGAAAATAACATGTTTTCTGTCTAATAATCTATACATATTATATCCCAAATAAAAAGTGTTCCTCGTGGTTCGATATCTTTAATCATCAGTATTAAAAGGTGTTTGCCCTACGGTTACTGAATATTTAATCAAACCTGTAGATTCCTATACAGAGTGTGATTGTTTACGTCAAATGAGCGAGTTTATCTAGGAAACCTAGAACATGGCTCCATCATAGTTGACAGCTCATATAAGCAAATACGCTGACATATCGGCAGAAGCTGTTCAGCGCGAGAGAAACAAGGACGTGAGACAATCTGATTAGGAAAAATCACGGATCAATTGAATTGATTCCTTCTGAATAGTATCAATTATGGACAGAGTGCCAGACATGTGAACAGTACACACTTTGGGTCAGAGTGAGATGGTGAAAAGTACTCACTAGCTCTTAATTATTCTGAACTCCAACAAGCCGAAACTAATTACTTCCTAGTAAAGGTCGCACCAAGACCAAATGTTAGTTAAAGGATGGTAGGGTAGCGCCTGCAGGTCAAAGGGCTACAGATCTTATTTCAGCTCAACTGCGAATATAGATCTAGTGTCCAGCACTTTGATAATTGATTATTATCTAATCGTATTTTAACCAGCTTTGTTAATACTGTCACTACTGGAGTTCGTTCAAGAGATAGCCCTCTGGCCCCTCAATTTTTTGTCGCAGGATCGTAACTTCATTGTCAGATAACATAATGCTTTGCATGTTTCGATTAAAGTTGGGCATTTTATAATACATAATTGCCCTAATGCAAACAACATTAGCTCATTTTATGCCTTTGAGCTCTATTCCGTGTCCACTTATTTACGCTTTTTCTATCGAATGGAAAGAAAACTACAAAGGAGCAGTAAACCTATATCTGTAGTTTCAGCACGCAGAACTAAAAAGTAGGGTGGGGATATAGGGCGAGGGTGTAATAAAATATAAGGGGTGTTCACCCTACGATGGAGAAATGGATGCAACGTCCTGCAAGGGGTTTATTTTCTACGATGATGTGATGAATATTTTAAGATTGCGGCGTAATAGACTAATGGTAGATAAACAGAGAGGGTAATAGTTCCTTACATGATAAATATGCTATACTACACTGTACAGTTATCACAAAAAATGAAGTAAATATTGACTTTGCAGTCAGCAGAGAGTTGAGAATGTTCTTTTTCGAAGTGTTGATCCCTGCAGATAATGTGTTGACTACACCCAAAAAAAATCAGAAACTTGAAAAACATAGGAAAGTGTTCTGATATTTTTCGTTTTTGCTCATAACTTCATCACGATTGGATAGTATTCAAAGCCTATAAAGCTACATGCACATTGAGGAGAAGGAAAGCAATTCGTCTTGTGGAAAAATGACGGCCGTATGTCAAGCATTGCCGAGTGACATTTTCGCGCGATACAAATCGCTTCCCTTTTCCTGGATGTGTTTGCACCTTAGAACTTAACATATCGAATATGAGTCAAAATTTGATCAAATTCGAAGCAGTACTTTTTCAAAGTACCTATAGACCAGCCAAAGATTATCGGACAGGTAACAGATGACAGACAGAGAGACTGATGAAAATGAGCGACATTGTCTATCGTAATGGGAGTTCCACGTAGAATATAAAAAAACATATCTCAATTTCGACGCGTCTCTCATATTTCTTTGAACTGAGATCATTATTGCCTAAGACTTAAGAATGAAAATATCCCTTAGTACAAGGAATTATATTTCTTAGATTATACGAAGAACATGGAAATATTGGTACAAGAATACAATTACGATACATCATTTTAGGTATCTGCGATCTTGAATCAAGTTCTTAATGTCTGTAGAACTTGTGCTTTTGAACCAAAAGTCTCTTTTGCTTAATATAAACGATACGCAGAACGATACAGACCTATATGCTAAATTTGCTCATTCATTTTTTACTTGGATATAACTTAAACGGTATTTACACAAGAGCCGAACTACCCAAAACTGTTGTCTCAATAATCAAGACGAATTGACTGCTAGATCCTTGGTCTTCGGCTCCTGAAAAAGCCTGTGCATTTCGAACAATGAATTAAATATATTGACGCAATGTTTCAACGCACATCTCCTTGTTATAAACAAAGATGCTAGTTGACTTTCACATTTCTTTTCATAAAGAGAAAATTACCGTATTTTAGACACGCTTGCCAAAACAATTGACGGTAGTTGCATGGTTGATTAATTGGAGCACTTCCAATATATTTTTTTGTTTCAATGCACATTTTCTCCTTTTTCTCCACGCGCTGTTCTAGGATAATGCATCATTAGCTACAATTCAAGTACGTGTATAATATATAAATAGATATAGAAAAAATTAATTAGATATTTGATCAGTAAAACAGCAAAAAAGGAGCTGTGTTTTGTATAATTAAACCAGATACAGTGTTTTATTTTCCATGGTCTTCGTTTTGCAAATCAAGGTCTGCAAGTCTAATATCCCAATTTCCGCATCTGTTGTGATACTTGCTATTATTTGCAAAATTGTATTAGTACGACATTTGTCAGCTTGTTTCACCATGTAATAAGCAAACAATTATTTAGTACCAAAGAAATTTATCCGCACATGACGTACATTTTGCTTACCTATATTCATGAATCAGTGATGAACAATCACTGATTCACACAATTTCTGATGTCACTGCATTTACCCCATAACTTATTTCGAATAATTTGTATTTGGATAGTACTTTTGCTTAGATTTAACAGCTTTGTTCGAATATAACTCAGAAACCAGCCGGTAATTTTTTGTCAGTTACAGCACTTGGTCAAGATGCGTTGCAGACCATTTTTCAGTAGATATCAACAATTGTAAACAATTGTTTTGTCAAATCGTGCAAAATCATTCGATGGAACTCCTAAAAAAATGCTGTCAAGTAGGTTGTCTCCGTACCCCCTATGAATTCTTTTTCTGTCTTCAAATTTCGTACACACTCAGAGGTTTATTTAGGTGGCCATGCAAATAAAACAACGCAAACCCATCCAGTTAGGACTCGGTTGATTCTCCTTGACAAATACTCTGGTCCTGAGGTCTGTTAGTCTGGCTAGACCGGTATTATGTAAAATAAATCTATAACAGCCATTTCAAATTACAGCTTTTTAAAATCACATAGTTCGCTAAAATGTCAGTGCGTTCTATTTCTTCAAACAATTGTAGCGTACTTTTAGATATATAGTAAATATTTAAGTACAATATGATTTATATCGTAAGAAATATCATAATAATGGATTCTTACGAAGTCCTATTAATAAAATATATGTAAATTAGATGGACGTTTCTTTATCTTTATCTGTTAAGGCTCCGCATTACTCTCATATATTTCTTTGTAAATCATGCATATGTAGTTCATGCAAAACTCATTTGTTTTTTGAGATATAAGCAAAAAATTTGAGCTTATGAAGGTGACGTCTTTTTTCTGTTTTTTAATGTTCTTGTAAAAGAATATATTGAATTTAAAACTGTACATTCTGGTAACTTTTATGGTTGAAGAAGTAAACATGGCAGGTATCAGAAAAAGGAAAAAGTATTATCTAGAGGATGTGTTTTTGGAGGATTGAGTTTTTATCTCGTTGCTGAATCTTTAAAGATAACATCAAAATCTTTGGAAAAAGAATATGTGATGCCTTCTTCTAACGAAGCTCCCAGGGTGATATTAGCTGTCTAGCTTATTCATCCTCTAATTTAAAAATACTTTCCTCGATTGTAAATATGTCGTTTTATACTCCTCAACCTTTAAACGATATTGAAGCGCCTCCGTCTCAACTTGTCAAATAAATGCGTGTTACATTTTACAACCAGCGGGAAAATTGTCTAACGCTTTTATTTGAAAACTTAAGATACTGCAGCTTCATTATGACTTAAATGTTAAGAAGCATAAAACGGCATATGTCCAATGAGGAAATTGTTTTTAAATTTACAGTTCGTTTTTAAAAAGACCGTGGTTGTCAGTCACTGTTATCGAGAAAAAATTTTTGGTAGAGACCCTGCAACTTTAAAACAAAGCATTACTATTACTATATACACCATTTGAAGTAGCAATCATCGACGGTATTAGCCAAACAATAGAGAAAAGCCGCCCTTAAAGTTGAGATTACAAAATTATAGCTAATGTTTTTTGATTCAACGAGTGACCTTGTGATATACCTGCTGCTGTATACTACAAATTTTTCTAGTATAATCACCTCAACTTCCCACTATCTTACATATTACTATTCCAGAAACTTACCACTTTGAACAAATGCGATGACCAAGACCACTGTAACCGATAATTTCGACATTTTCATTCGCGATTTTCAGGACGCTCGACGATTTTCAGTCGCGCTCGGTAATATTATGAGCGGCTAGTTTTCAGCAGCGCGGTTTTCAGCGATTGACGGTTTTCCTTATGAAGGAAGGGGGGTCGAAGAAGTGAGCAGATTGACGGACAATGTCTCCGACTCCCACCACACCGGCCACCGGCGCCTCTATGACTATATGTAACTGTCTTCGCGCGTGTTATTAGTACAGGTGGTGGAACCGAAACCACGTTTAGTGGTGCAACAATACTTGATATGGTTTTTAACTGAAATTAACATTTTTGGAAATAAAAATGTTTTGCTTCAGGTCATTAATCGTTTGCGAATTAATTGAACAGACTTTATTCTTGAAGAATTTCTACAAAAAGTGTTGCATAATCTCGTCAATAGACATGACCGTTACAAGAAGTCACTTGGTCATCGGGAAAACTCATCAGCGTGAAAAGAAAAAGCAGCATTTACCATGTTGAGCCCTATTCGCGCGGATCTATTCAAATACGAAATCGAAGCCGACATACTCAGCTATGCTGACGCTACCCTAATATTATATGGCAAAGAGACTTGGACAGCTTTGAAAGATGAGGCACAAACGTCTAGGTACTCATAATGGAAAGCTGGCTCGATGGTAAATTGTTAACAAGAAATTTTGAAAAAACTAATTTTGTTACTTTCACCGTAAATATATATATAACAAAAAGTAGGAAAATAATGGGCAAAATTCGCAAAAAGGAGGAAAGTGGACTCGAGCAGAAAATAGGATAGGTAACCCGAGCGATACGTATCTCTGCTGGTTGGCTTCATCAGGCCCGAAATGAATGCACATATGAAACTACAAAAGTAGATACACATGCCCACACATCCGGATACGGGAGTAACCTGAGGAAACGAAGTTGGAGGGGGAAAAAACGACACACGAAGATGTCTTCTTGAAAATTCGAGGGCGTCTAGCCATTTTGTACTACAATGTGTAGGTTGGCTCTTGCTGTGGACTTCGTGTGTCGTTTTTTTTTCCTCCAACTTCGTTTCCTCAGGTTACACCCGTATCTGGATGTGTGGGCATGTGTAAATAAATTGTTGATTAGTTACAAACTGTCAAAATCAGCTTTGTGAGCATTATTATTAAAAACGTGTTTGAAAATGAATTTTTCTAATGAAGAAATGTGTGTTCGTTTTGGGCGAAGCCCAATGAAATAGTTTCCTAGCATCTCGCATTATATCTTGGCCTATATCTTGGCCTCCAAGATCACCAGATATGACACCGATAGACTTCTTTCTATGGGGCTACGTTAAGCAAGAGGTTTATAGGTATCCACCATCTACCCCGGAAAATATGAAGGAAAGGATTAAGGATGCTTTTCTGAACATAAGGGAATACAAACTGAGGGATGTGCAACGGTCATTTATCCAAAGACTACGGCTGTGTATTCAACATGGTGGAGATATTTTCGAGCAGTTTTTGTAGATTAGGTCTTGAGTAGTGATAGTTGTTTGTTTATGTTGTTGTTATAGTTGTCTTTCTCTATTACGCTTGAAGCTGAATACTGTTCTAATTGTTATTAGTTTTTACGTCAAATTTGTACTCTTAGTGGCAATATGGAACTAGCCTACTGTTTGTCTTTAGTTTCCATGGATGATGTGATTTTTTTCCTTAATTTTGGTGTGTTGTTCTATTAAAAGCTTAATGACTCAAAATCTAGTGATTTTATCTGAATCAAACCTTATACCAAAAAAAAGCTTAAAAAATTGAATCCAAACTTGCAAAAATATACAGGGTGATGCATTTAAAATTTTCGAGAAAAAGTACAATTTGTGTTTTTGACCAGCCTGTATGAGCTAAAATAAAAATTCGAAAAAATAACAAACAGGATAAAAGCTGAGGCGTGTAAGCTTTCTTTGATACAAAATTCAGCACTCCAAATTTCAAATTGGCGGATTGAGGGGTTGCCGAAGTGGACGGTTTTTCTGGACAAAACACCTTACATCTCAGTAACCATTTACCAAAACTCCATAGTATGTTGTATCAATCTTCTTCTTTTGAATTGGCTTATCCAAATATGCAATAAAATTTGAGTGGTCAAAGCAACTCCCCATGTTCTTTAGTAATGTGTTCTGTCGTCTTCCAACGGGTCTTTTGCCCTGTGTATTACCCTCTATTGCATTTACATTTTTCTATCTTTGGTTATGTTGAAAAAAGATTACGAAGCTTCACATGTAATGCTTAGGAATAAAAATTATATTCTACGAAATTTTGTTCAACCCATATTTTCGAAATGAGTCGGTTTATTAAAAATTGGACAAAATGGAAAAGTCCAATCACTTCCTTTGCCTCAAGTTCGGGAGCACCCTTCACAGAAACATTCCGTTTATTATCCATTTTAAAATGAAATATTCTTAGAGAATTCCACCGTTCTTTTCATTATTCACGTCGAACACCAAATTAAAAGGTCAATTATCTAAGGCTAGAGAGTCAATTGGATTAACACACCGAGACTGGCCGCAGATGGACTGAAAGGTGCGGGAGAAATTATCTCCTAACTAGTTATAGTCTGGTGTATTAAATTATGTTTAGTTTATTTCCTAGCCCTGCGCAATGTGAACAACGATTAAAAAATCAAATAAAGTAATCGCATGTCAACATACCTGGAACTTAGAATTAGGAGCTACTAAAACGAAAGTGGAATAAATTAGCCCATCTCAGAAAAAAATATATACACGTGTATAACAAAAAAAGAGTGTGTCTATTCGTCTATTTGAAAGGCTCAAATGTACTCGAAACCTAACTAGATTGTGGACCTAGGTAAGGATTATTTCCACATGGATTTTTGTTTGCGCATTCCATATATTTGTAAGTACGGAAATAAAGAAATGCATTTCTATTTCAAGGGCAAATGTATGCAAAACGTGTGACTATCATGTCTAGCAGGTGCATAGTAGTACGCGGATCAGAAACTTGTTAACAATAATATTTCGCTGCACCCCTACAAAACTATTTCTGAAAATGATGAGGAGTCTCTGGAAATATCAAAAAAGTGAAATTTGAATCATTTTCAAAACCTATAAAGGTCTTTCGTTAATCTGATACACCGACAGGTCGGATATTAAAAGAAGGCTCTGGCTCGGAGATCTATGCGATTGTGTCCTGTGGGATGCGCCTAGGAGAAAAATAAAAATTTGCTCCGGCAGTCAAGGCACTAATCATCTGCATTACTTCGTCCCTTGTGTTAAAGTGTAGGAAGGCTATCGATAGATTTTATCAGCGACGCATCTGGTACCTTTAATGTGGGTACCGGGACACGCTGGGGTAAGGAGAAATTATATGGCGGAAACACTCGCGGGAGCGGGATCAGAGGGCAGGCTTGTTTTACTTCATTCATTTGATTTCTTTATTGGTTCTATCATATCAATATAGGATGACAAATAACACGTTAATATAAGTAAAAAAACATTAGTAAATGATAGTCAAAAATAAACAAGCATTGAAATATAACATAAAAATAGACAAACATTTAACTAAAACAGACATTGAAAACACGTGGTAAATACAGATTAACCATATGTAAAAAATATATGAATAAAATAGATGGAATTCAAAAAACAGAATAGAAATAAAAATTAATAAGAAAGGTAACTTTGAAAAATTGAAACATTGGATATCACTGTGAGGACTATCATAAACCGTATTGTCAGAATTACACATATTGTCATCTCTCAGGTTATGTGACAAGTACTCATCGAAACTTTACTTTTTAATAGTGCCTTAGGTGTGTGTTTGTGAATAGTGAGTGGCAAGGTCCAGCGGGTGTTTGACAATTTATCGAACAACCTAACACCCATTTGATTCTGGTTGCATTCTTTTCTAGACAGTCTGTGCTTGGAAGCCGGTAGGACAAGCGAATTTCTTGTTAAGTATCTGTTATAGTCGTTCAGACTCGGAAAATCATACAAATAAAACTTTACATCTAACAACAACTCGAAAATGTATATGGATGGAATGTTGGGTTTGAGCCAGCCGGAGGACGTGATATCTAGACAACACTCTTTGAAATAGAGATCGGGAGCTTATTTCTGGGCATACCGCTAAAGATGAACCTAAGGTTGCTGGGGACTATTGTCTGTCCAAAAGACATTGAGGCGCCACCTGCATGTGATGAGGTGGCTGAGGGCTCCATGTGTGCGCTTCGGGGTAGAAGAGGAGTCGCCGGCGCATGTTCTGTGTAGCTGCGAGGCTCTGGGATAATACAGACTACACAGCGGTGCAATATTTTGGAGTTGCATAATGTTAAGGAGTTGGAGTTCAAGGCCATACTCAACTTTGCTAGGATGGAGCTTGAGACATGGAGAAGACAGAGGTGCAAAATTGCCCAGTATGTGGCCTATGTGCTGGCTCGCTGTAATTGCCGGAATGCCTCTGATTACATTTAATTCATTAATTTATTGAAAGTCTTTCGTCCCTGGCATAGTAGTGAGTTCATGAGGAAATTTGATCAAAAGCGTGCGAGGTGTCAAGAACTATAGCTACCTCCCTCGCTTCAAACATTTTTGAGTGCTGATATATAATCATAATATGCAAGAGTTCAGAATATTCAAGCCCGCGAGGATGTATACAGGAAGTGAAATAAAAAATTGTACTGGTGCGGATGTAGTATTTTGATTTCCTCCAACTCTCTATACAAAAACATGCATGTTTGATTCCAAATACATTTACGATGAAGTCGTTAACATAGTCTGTCAATAAGCCTGATTAAGACATGTCAGCAATCGTATAACACGTTTTGCTCCTAATTAAATTTTTAATTGGCATGTTTTATTTTTACTTGATATACTTGGCATTGCACTACATATCATGGAATGCTAAAATTCAATATGCGTCAATTTTTTTCGTGACACCAAAATGGATGATACAAGTTTTCTAGATGCAAAAACTTACATTTAATCTTTGATGAATTTCATTTAAAACAGTCCCTTATTTTTCACTTTGCAGGCTAGATTGTCGATAGAACGAATGTCTTTCCACAACTCTCATTCTCCATAATTCCTGTCTCTTGGACCGATTAGATGCGTTTTTAGGTAACGTGACATTTGCAGTGCAGAACCGAAAAAAAAAAACCTTCTTGAAGCACTGTCAAAAGTCTCATTCTCTCCGTTATACTCCAGACTTCAAG